GCGGAAAAAAAAAGGAGAGAAAAGTAATCTAAACTTATTATGAGTTGCTTGATATCCAAGTGAACGGGGAAGTAGAAAAGGGGGAAAAGGAAGAAGAAGACTGATGCGTGTCATGAAATTTCATTGCATTCGGGTTATGGAAAGTACTGAGATCCGATATTATTATCCCTGGATCACAGGTTGATGAGATCCGCAAGGTAAATCTAAAACTAGCTCTCGTGTTGAATAGAGCATTTCAAGATGGCCGCATGCATGATACAGCAAACCGTTATCAACCCTTCTGCAGCGAGCAAATTCTATGCCACACAGAAGAAGTATAATTCTGCCAATCTCTTATCTGCTCTTCTAACACGTTGGTCCTTGATCATTGCTGACAATTTACTAATTCCTATAACCAAAATTTGGTGATAAAAACATCCCAAACTGTACAGGAGGAGGAAAAGCATCATAATTGACAACTGCAACAGAGGATATTGATCTTTGCTCAACGAAAGAAAGAAGAAAAGAATGTGTATTGTTGATCTTAAGAAGCCTACATCCAAGAAGAATGCAGGGTGTTTATTTAGTATCTACTACTTTATATCAATACAAGATTCAACTCCTCTCACTGGAAGAATGCCTTCATAGAATTATTCCACTTTCACATAACAGCTAACTCTCCAAATCTCTAAACTACATTGATCCAAGAGAAACCTACAAACAGTATTAAGGAGCAGAGACAGCTACGCCATCTCTCCCTCTCTCTCTCTCTGTCTTCTCCTCCCTCTGTGATCACATTGCAAAAGCCAATCTTGGGTTCGAATCCGTGAGAAGAGAAGAAACGGATGGGAAAAGAAATCAAAGGGGAAGCAACAGAAAGAAAAAGTTTAAAAAATAAAAAGAAAAGGAAACCCTCGCTAAGCAGTTTTTTTTTTTTTTTGAGTTAAGTTTTGAAAAAAATAAAAAAAATTGATATCCCCGTTATTTGCTGTAATGTTTCCTTAAACTGTATAATGTGATTGCATGGTCTCAAGGTCCAGTCCCTTGAGCTTCATAACTGACTCTACATGCCCCTTCAGTGTGTGGAGCTCCCTGAGCCTGCAAAAAA